ATTATCGGATAATCCCTCTAATAAATATCGCATATGCGTGGCTGAGTGAGTCATTTTACGATCCATAAATTTTAAAATAAATAATTGTAAACAAATATTAATTTGGTATACAATAAAACAAAAATGTAATGCATTAATTTAAAAATGTATTACGGTTTGTTTGTACACTATTCGTATATAACTCATCACACTTACCGGGGTTTGGGTAATTCGATAGTCCAATGCACATATTTTGGCAATAAACTATATTATGTCCAATGTTATACTTTGAGTTAATTTTGTAATATCATCTTACATATTGACCGATATATACAGATATAAAGCCAACCGGTGTTGAAAATGGTATTTAGATTATCTATTTACCCATTACCACATATTATTAACAGAAAAAAGATAATCTTTTAAGTTTCATTAAGGTTCCTCTCATACCATCTTTAATTTTGCGAATTTAGTCAACCGGATGTGCTAAATCCTGATATTTTGTTACAAGTATATGATGTCGGCTATGCAAGTTTCAAGATTTTATCCATTGAATCGCAAAGGTATGTTGTTATTAGAAAACACGTTCTTTCAAGTTCATTAAGATAACTTAAATATGGACCGATATTTAGGGTATAAGTCAGCCGGAGGTTGGAAATTTTCTATTAGATATATGGGGTAAGGGAATTATTGATCCGATTCAACCCATTTCAGGCACACAGGCATATTATTATCGCATGGATTATCCCTGAGTTTCTATAATAATCTCATGGACTGACCATATTTTGCGAAAAATTTGCTATAGGAACTGGTTCATTATCAGTACCTTGTGTTAAACAATTTGGTCGATTTGTAGAATTTTAATCATAAGTGCCTTAAAGGCATGCTTCGTATAAAGTTTATTCTGATATATATATATGGTTCGTGATTTGTTTACTGGAAAGTGAAAAATCAGATGAATTTAAGATTGTGTATATAGGAAAGGTGTAGTTATTATCCGTTTTCGCCAATTTCTCACAGTATATTATACATATATATTTCAAATAATACTATGTACCATTGAAATTTGTTTGAAGTGGTCTAGTAGGCCGGAGATATGTATGTATGTGATTTCACCTAATTTGGGCGGTGCCTGATTCTTTCATCTTCCACTATGCATATCAAGCAACAATGATTATATCGGATAAACTTTGCGTGAATAATACGTTTAAGTATGCCACCTTGTGACCAAAATTGTCTTAATCGAACCAAAACTGTTCAAGCCCTAAGTACTAAATATGTGACCCCGACCATAGTTGACCTTCTACCGAAAATATCAGCCAATCCACAAAGAAATCTCAAACGAGTATACCATTTGACTTTACGAGAGTATAAAATGTTCGTTACACCGAACTTAGCCCTTCCTTACTTGTGTTGTTTGTTTGTTTTTTCTGAGTCATTGCTGACCATAAATCCGTCATAGCTGAAAATTGTCAGTTATGACTGAAACGCTATTGCTACGCTAGAAGTGAAAATTCTTTTGCGCAGTAGATAATACTTGTATAATTTTATTTTCTTAATAAATTTCAAACTTTTAATCAAAATGAGTTATAATAAATACTTAAATATAAAAGGAATGCAACAAAATTATAATAAAATATGAAACTTAAAAATACCCATTCACCCATTTTCTCATTGTAGTATGAAGTTATAAATCGAAAAGTTTTTAAAACAGGATACACGGATACCGGACAATGGCGGTTCCACAATTTTCGTCCGCTAATAGGATAAATACACAATTCTTTTAAATAAATTACATTTTTGGTAATTTAATTCACATATTTAATTTTGTTGTGAGATGTATCATAGTTTATATGTATATACAGTTTATTTTACTTGAGTTTCAACTTTCACTCACTCTTTTAATTCTTTCCATCGTTACGTTGTT